ATTTCTAGAACATAAGCCTTGCCTGATGGGCTTGTTACACAGCTACGTGTTGTATCTCTGTGTTCATGTCAAGTGCAGCCGCCCATCCCGCTCCTGGCCGTGTGCATTGGCCCCCAACCAGCCCATTCTTAACTTCACTTTAAGTGAGTAGAAGGGAGAAAGAAAACAAGCAGAGAGCACCGGCTGGACGTTGCGGGGCGGGGAACCTATTTCTTCCAGGGGCCACTTGGATAGTTATAGCATCATTCGCTGGCTGATAATACAGAATTATCAACTTAAAAATCAGCCTGCTCTATTTGGTCAAACATTTAATTAACTCGCCCCTACTGCCTGGGCAGGGCCAGACCAAATGATTCCGTGGGCCTCATACGGCCTGTGGGCGGACGTTCCCCACCCCTGACCAGGGCCTTTAAACGTGGGGAGCTGCTCGCTGCTGAGACTCAGCATGGCCCTCTGGTCCGGGAATGACTGCATTCGAAGCCGGGTCCACAGTAAAGAATTCTCCCCACTCCACTGTGGGAAGTCTGAACAGCCCTTCGTTTCACTCCAGCCTTGTGTCACCTGAAAAATAAAATTGGCAAGACCCCACACCCCTCCCTGCTTAGAGGAGTGACAGACCCGTTTGCCACGCCAGCCTGCTGGACTCAGAAGAGACCTGAAGGGTTTCTGGGAAAGCACAGTAGCTCACTGTTGTAATTTCCCCCCTTCATCCTATCTTATGAAGAGGGAATATGCTAATTTACCCTCATGCTGTCGCAGAGATCAGCCAATAAGGAGGGAATATGCTAATTGACTATCCCGCTCCTCAAAGATGGCAGCGCCCACAGCCAATAAGGAGGGAATATGCTAACTGACTGCCACGGCCTCAAAGATGGCAGCGCCCACCCAGTCCCCTCAGCCACTCTGCATGCCTGCCTCCAGAGTCCCCCAGTTCCCTCAGCCCCCCAGCCACTCAGGGCCGCCTGAGGCTTGCACTGCCAGCAGTGGCAGCAGCAGAGGTGTGATGGGGCATCGCCTTCCCCTGATCGCTGGGTCGCCTCCCACCCCTGAGGGCTCCTGGACTGTGAGAGGGGGCAGGCTGGGCTGAGGGACCCCCCTCCAGTGCATGAATTTTCATGCACTGGGCCTCTAGTTTTTAATAATATAAAAAGCCTTTCTAACGGTATAACTTCCATGGGGGTCTACTGTACCCTGGCAGGGTGGCCCGGTGCCCACCTCATATGCCAAAGGGGTGACTATCTCCGCTGAGATGCATTCCTAGAGAGCAGTGGTGTTAAAGAGAGAAAAGGAGACACGGAGCACAGTGCAGAAGTGGGCACAGCTCTAGCTGTGAGTCTAACCTTACTTTTAGGCCCACGGGCGCCTCCTGGTTTTGTAGAGCTGCATGGCTTTATTTCCAGCGAAGGTGGCCCAGTCCACAGATTCTAGGCCTTCAACGCATAGCATCTCCTCTGGCTGGATGGATGGTCAAGCCCCAGGCTGTAGTAAGAGCTGTGGGCCTTTCCGATGGGCGCGCACCCCTAGGGCCACGCTCATGCCCTCATGCTTGTGCCGCCACCAGGTGCGCAAGATTCTGGACCTGGTACAGAGCAAGGGCGAGGAGGTGTCCGAGTTCCTCCTCTTCGTGCTCCAGCAACTCGAAGATGCTTACGTGGACCTCAGGCCCTGGCTGATGGAGATCGGCTTCTCCCCTTCCAAGCTCATTCAGAGCAAAACTGTTGTCAACACTGATCCAGGTATGAGTCAGCTGGGACAGGGTGTGTGTGTGTGTATATTGGGGTGGGGGGGAGGTGGCTGGTGTCTGTGGATTGCAGACACCAAGCACACAGCCAAGGTTTGGAAAGGCTGTAGGCTCAAGAGGACACGAAGCTGGTCCACCACGGCCAGCCCTGCCTTCCTGCCCGGGTGCTGTGCTCCTTATAGCAAAGGAGAGCTGTCCCTGTCGCCCACGTGCAGCCCAGGGGGGCTGTCATGGAAGTGACCACAGGCAGCTGGTCTGCTCTGTGCAGGGGCCTGTGGAAGTGGGGGAATGCCTCTGTTCTGACCTCTTGCTCTCTTCCTATTCTCATAGTTGCACAAGTTTAAGGTTGCATTTTTTTCCTTTTTAAAAATCTTTCCAGGTTTGATTCTAGGCAACGTATTCTTTTGTCACCCCTGACTGCCAGTCCTTATTTGCAAAGCACCATGGCACCCCCTTAGGCAACAGGTGTTAATGTGCCAGGGCGGTGTGCTGGATGCCAGGGCCTGGGACACCTTTGAGTGTGGGGAAGGACCACCTCCCTTTTGGTGTGAGCCCCATTTCTGAGCTCTGGTTTGCTGCGAGCATGGCGCCGTGTAAGCATGTCACTGCGTCTATGCCCCTGGGGCAGGCAGAGGGGTCACCCTGGGGCACATGCTAACCATCAGTGCAGCCCAGGTCTCCTCTGGGAACAGGGCTGGTGTGCCCTTCCTATGGTGAGAAGGCTGCTTTCATCTTCCTTTACTCACTGGAGGTGATTCAGAGGAGACACAGCTCCTTTGTCACCCAGAGTAACATCCAGTGCTCATTTCATCACCAGAAGTCTTGGCATGTGATTTTGTGAGAGCATCACAGTAAGCCATAGAAAGGTCAGGGCAATTTCTCAACAGCACGGGTTTCCATGGGGCCTGGCTCTAGCTCAGTGGTTCTTAACCTTCCTAATGCCGCGACCCTTTAATACAGTTCCTCATGTTGTGGTGACCCCCAACCATAAAATTATTTTCGTTGCTACTTCCTAACTGTAATTTTGCTACTGTTGTGAATCGTAATGTAAATATCTGATATGCTATATGTGTTTTCTGATGGTCATGACCCACACATTGAGAACCGCTGCTAGAGTCTAGCTAGTCAAACAGGGTCCTGGGGATGTGGTGGTAGGGGGAAGGGGGGCGGCAGGGCCCCGGGGCCTGGCCCTGGAATGTGAGGGAGCTTCAGTTTTTAGCTGGAGTTTTAAAAATGACCGCTTGTGCAGAGGACCAGGGAGCCTGTCCCAGACTCTGGGCCCGGTTGAAGCTGTCACCCTCTGGCTGGCTGTCTGAGGTCAGGCAGAGCTCTCCAGGCTGCCGACCTACAGATCCTGGAGCTCTGGCCCCCCGAGTGTCTTCAGGGCCTGCATTCGCGGCATCTTGGCCCTTGGCCTCAGGGTCCAGGCTGCGGGGTTATCTGTGTGCTTGTTTCTCCTGCAGCCTCCCTGGTTGATTGCTTGGTCTCTGCTTCTCTCTCTCTCTCTCTGCCTCCACCTCTCCTGGGCTCCCTCACCACCCTCACCCCCACCCCCACCCCCGGCCTGACTCCCAAAGGGCTTTGGCAAGTCCCCCCGCCCTAGTGAGCAGGTACATCCAGAAACTGCGACACCAGCTGGGCCGCGACTCCAAGTTCATCCTGTGCTACTCGCAGAAGGAGGAGGTGCTGCTGGAGGAGGTGTACACGGACACCATCATGGAGCTGGTTAGCTTCAGCAACGAGAGCCTGGGCAGCCCGGGCAGCCTGGCCCGCCTCCTGGACCACTCCACGGGCGTCCTCAACGAGCAGGGCGAGACCATCTTCGTCCTGCTTCCAGGAGGGCGCCATGCTGAGCCTGCAGGACCTGCTCTTCAAGCACTGCTGCTACCCGGAGCAGGACCCCGGGGAGGTGTTCGCCTTCCTGCTGCGCTTCCCCCACGCCGCCCTCTTCACCTTCGACGGCCTGGACGAGCTCCACTCCGACTTCGACCTGAGCCGCGTGCCCGACACCTCGTCGCCCTGGGAGCCAGCCCACCCCCTGGTCCTGCTGGCCAACCTGCTCAGCGGGGTGCTGCTCAAGGGGGCCACCAAGCTGCTCACGGCCCGCACGGGCATCGAGATCCCGCGCCAGCTCCTGCGGAAGAAGGTGCTCCTGCGGGGCTTCTCCCGCAGCCACCTGCGGGCCTACGCCAGGAGGATGTTCCCCAACCGGCCCACGCGGGACCGCCTGCTGGACCAGCTGGAGGCCAACCCCAACCTCTGCAGCCTGTGCGCCGTGCCCCTCTTCTGCTGGATCATCTTCCGCTGCTTCCAGCACTTCCACGGCGCCTTCGACAGCCCCCCAGAGCTGCCCGACTGCACGGTGACCCTGACCGACGTGTTCCTGCTGGTCACCGAGGTCCACCTGAACAGGACGCAGCCCACCAGCCTGGTGCAGAGGAACACGCAGAGCCAGACGGAGGCCCTCCGCGCCGGCCTGGCCACCCTGCGTGCGCTGGGGCAGCTGGCCCGCTGCGGCATGGAGAGGGACCTGTTTGTCTTCAGCCAGGAGGAGGTCCAGGCCGCCGCCATGCAGGAGGCTGACCTGCAACTGGGCTTCCTGCGGGCCGTGCCCGAGCCGGGCCTCGGGGAGGACCAGATGTCCTATGAGTTTTTCCACACCACCCTCCAGGCCTTCTTCACCGCCTTCTCCCTCGTGGTGGACGCCAAGGTGGGCACGCGGGCGCTGCTCAGGTTCTTCCAGGAGTGGGTGCCTCCGGAGGAGGCAGCAGTGGCGGACTGCTCGGCCCCCTTCCTCCCCTTCCCGTGCCTGGGGGCCCGCGACCCGCTGGGGGACAACCCCTTCAGGAACAAGGACCACGTTCAGTTCACCAACCTCTTCCTGTGCGGGCTGTTGTCCAAGGGCAAACAGAAACTCCTGCGACACCTGGTGCCGGCCGCGGCCCTGAGGAGAAAGCGCAAGGCCCTGTGGGCGCACCTGTTCGCCAGCCTGCGGACCTACCTGAAGAACCTGCCCCGCACTCGGTCTGGGGGCTTCAACCAGGTGCAGGCCATGCCCACCTTCATCTGGATGCTGCGCTGCATCTACGAGACGCAGAGCGAGAAGGTGGGGCAGCTGGCGGCCAAGGGCATCTGCGCCAACTACCTCAAGCTGACCTACTGCAACGCCTACCCGGCCGACTGCAGCGCCCTCTCCTTCGTCCTGCACCACTTCCGCAAGCGGCTGGCCCTCGATCTGGACAACAACAATCTCAACGACTACGGCGTGCGGGAGCTGCAGCCCTGCTTCAGCCGCCTCACGGTCATCAGGTGGGGCCGCCGGGCACCGGGAGCACTGGCGGGCCGGGGTGGGGCGGGCCAGGCGACACCAGGACTAATGTCATGGAGTGGGGTCTCCTGGATTACCCTGCCAATCACGACCACCGGTCTTGGAACTTCCAGACCTTCTCTATCTCAGGTGGCTGAGAGCAAGGAACAAAGCTTTTATTTATTTATTAATAATAATAATAATAATAGAAACTTCCCTGTCCACTATTCCCACTTCACATCACTTTCTCCTTACAGTATTTTAATTTTCTTCATGACACTTGCAATACCTAAAACCACAATATATTACAAACACATTAATGTTATTTTAAAATTCGACTGAATGTCTACTTGATTTGTTACTGTCTTTACCCCCAAAAATACAAATCCGTTAACAACAAGGATTTGGTTTTCATAATAATAATAATTATTATTATTAAATTGATTGGGGTGACTTTGGCCAAGGAACAAAGCTTTGAAGTCAGGCAGACTCGCATCGGCTGGGGTGTACTTGAACAAGTTGCATAATCTCTCTGAGCCTCAGTGTCCTCGTCTGGAAAAGGAGATGCTCATATCCTAACAACTGCAGTACAGTTGACCCTTGAACAACACAGGGGTTAGGGATGGTGACCCCCCTGCAGCCAAAAATCCACATAATATAACTTTTCATTCCCCAAACACTTAACTACTAATAGCCTGGCAGCCTCACCGAGAACATAAACAATTGATCAACACAGCATGTGGCAGAAGTAGGTTTACAGTAGTGCATATGTGAAACACAGTTTATAATTGTATTGTTATTAATTATTGTATTATTTTCTACACAATCAATGGTAAATCTACTTTTGCTCACCCCTGTACATATTATGTATGTTACATGTATTAGACACTGTATACTTAAAGTAAGCTAGAGAAACAAAAATGTTATTAAAGTCATAAGAGAAAATACATATATTTTATGCATTCATGATATATCTTTCTCTTAATTTTTTCAATATTTCTAGGCTATAATATTTGTGAGGTTTTCAAATTTTTGTAAATGCCCCCAATTTTTTCAATATGTTTATTGAAAACAATGCACATATAAGTGGACCTGCACAGTTCAAACCCATGTTGTTCAAAGGTCAACTGTAAGATCAATCAAGCATTTATTGAGTAGATGAAGTCATTGCAAATGTTACCTAATTTAATCCTCTTAACACACCCCAATAAATTCAAAAACAATAAACAAATAAAATACATTTAATTTTTTTTAAAAAATCCCAAACACAATTTTGTAAGGTAGATACTGTTATTGTCTTTATTTTGGCAAAGGAGGAGGTAGAGGCACAGAGAAATTAGTAAGTTGTTCAAGGTCACACAGCTGGGCCATGGCAGAGCCAGAATAAAAAAGAACCTGCCCTTTACGATTTATGTGAGGCTCCAAGATAGCCCATGTTTGCGATTGCAGAAAAGGCAGACTTTTTGCTAGTTAGCATTAGTTGCTTCCCATGATCAAAGCCAGCAGCCCTGAGCTTCCAGGGATCTCAGTAAAAAACAGTGACTCTTATTGTTGACTCTTGATTAGCTTCCTGTTTGATTAAAGACTAGAGGCCCAGTGCATGAATTTGTGCACAGGTGGGGTCCCTCGGCCTGGCCGGCTATCGGGCCGATCGGGGCAGGCTGGCCAGGGTGAGGTTGGCTGTGGAAGCGCACTGACCACCAGGGGGCAGCTCCTGCATTGAGTGTCTGCCCCCTGTGGTTGGTGCGTGTCATAGCGACCTGTGGACCGGTCGTTCAGTCATTCAGTTTCTTAGGCTTTTATATCTTTAGAAAAGGGAGGCCAGCCTGCTTTCTTCTAATAGCACTTCCTGTATACACCTTGTAAGTCTTTCCTGGGGGCGGGGTAGTTCTCCTTTACTTGGCTCATGCATTTCTGGAGAGCCTAGGGGATTTGAATTGCTTCTGGGCGCCCGTTACACCAGTACCACAGTACAAACTGTGTGGGGACAGTGAGATATAGGGAGCCAAAGCTGCCCTGGCCTGGGAATTGGGAGGCCTTGCGTCTTTTCTCTACGCTCAGCCAGCATCTCTCCGTCCGCAGCCCCAGGCGTCTTACACTCAGTGCCACCCTGTGCTCCTCTCATCAGATAAAAACTCCACCAGTGACGGGGAAAGCAGGAGGAAATGGGTTATCCCAGGGAAGCATTTTGAGCTCCCTGAGGACATCAGTTAGGATTAATTTATGCTGAGAGGAAAACTTAAAATAGTGGTGGTTTAAATAATTTACAAGCTTACTTGTCTCTCATGCAAAAGTCTAGCAGAGGGCAGTTCTGGGCTGCTTGGGAGCTTCCATGGCCTCAGCAGCCCAGGCTCTTCTGCCTGCTACCCTGCCCCCCCCACTACCTGACTTCCACCTCCTGGCCCAAGGTGGCTGCACAAGCTCCAGCCATTCAGTCAACATCCTAACCACCAGGAAGAAAGAAGGGCAAAGAAGGACACACCTCATTGTTTGAAGAAGTCTCCTCGGCTATTGCTAATGAGTTCTTCTGCTTAGATTTCATTGGGCATAACTTGATCACATGTGCCTAGCTAAAAAAAAAAAAAAACGGGGGGTGGGGAGTATGTTTCTAAGAAAGCATAGATATGGGATGGCAATGCATGTGGGTGCACACTGTGCCCCAGCACCAAGGTGGGTACCACTGAGGGAGAGGCCCAGAGTGTCTGACCTGGTCATTTGGATGAGGCCTAAAAATCAAGCTTTTACCTCCTCAGCCTTTTACTTATTAAAAAGGTCAACTTGTGGCCCAGTGTGACTGTGTTTGTAGGTGAAGTGTTACTGGAACACAGCCGCAACCATTTGTTTACATATTGGCTCCTTCTCACCAGGCTGCCCCCAAACACAGGATATCAGAGGAGGCTGTCCGCACGTGGCCTTCACGTGTCCCCCCGCCAATGGGCTGGCTCTGGGTGGGTCTGCCGGCCCCACGATGACCAGGCGCTTTGGGGCTGTGTGGCTCACTGTTCCGGCCATTCTCTTGGGGCATTTACGGCTGGAAAAGCCCAGGACCTGGAGGCTTCTGCATCCCGGTGGAGTGAATGCTCCCTCCTAGCGAGCAGCTGCTCAGATGTGTAACTTTCTCTGCTGTTTTGTTTCAGACTCAGCGTAAACCAAGTCACTGACAGTGGGGTCAAGGTGCTATATGAAGAGCTGACCAAGTACAAAATTCTGACGTATTTAGGGTACGTATTTCTCAAGAACCCTGGGCTGGCTACAGGGTTCTTGTAAAAATACAGAGCAGCAGGAGACTGCCATTCCCGGAGTGATCAGGTGGTTGGGACTAATGGCCAAGGGCATAGGAAGAGCGCTGGACGGGGAACCAGGAGTCTGGGTTCTGCTTTGGATCCAGCCAGCAGCCCACTCTTGGAGCAAGTCGCTGGGAAAATCACGCTGGGCCTCAGCCTCCTGGCTGTATCATTGGGATCCTAATAATATAGGCATGTGGCTGTACGAGTGGTGGCCAGGGGATGCAGAGAAGGTATCTAGGGCTCGTTTTCTAAACATGAGAATACTGTTTATTCATCAGGCTTCACTGCTCTGGCCCATGATCCCATGTCCAGAACCCTGGAGGCAAGACAGTGGTCAGAATGCAATGCACATGCTGAGTAGTGGTGACATGGCCAGTGGGGTCTAGGGCAGGACCCCCTTTTTAAATCCTTTCCTATTTCTTCAACCAAGCGTATGACCATTCAAGCCAGTTGGATGCGGACTGTGAACAGCTCCATATCAGTTGCCAAAGTAGTGACGAAAAACTGGGTTTTCAGAGTCTGGCATTTTGGAGCTTGAGATAAGAGACTGTGGGCCCGCCCAGCCAGCCCCACGGCCACTGTTGATGCCCATCAGCTCCTTTGGGCCTCGGTTCCCTAAGCTGAGAAGCGAGGACATGGGAGCACAGACGCGCGGCTGCCCTTCAGCTCGGAGCTCTGTGCATCTGTGCAGTTCCCACTTCCCCCTTCTTGGGGCGACTTGTTGAATTGGTATCAAGTGGCAAAATGACGGAAAGGCAGACACCGAGGAGGTCCCGATACTCAGAAGCTTCCCCCGTCAAGATGCTCATCAGTATCTTCATCTAAAAATACCCGTCGCCTGTCATGTATTGAGCACTTATGTGACGTGCGAGGGCTTGGAGTGATCTCACATGGTCCTCATGACAACCCTGTCGGGGAGCTATCATTCTCACCCCGGTATCACAGAGGGAGAAACTGAGGCACAGAGGCGTTAAGGAACTTGCCGCAGGTCATAAAGCTGGAGAGTGGCAGAGCGGCTCTGAACCCAGCCTGTGAGGCCCCGGAGCCCCAAAGTCTGGTCCCCACGTCCCCTTTCTTTCTTCTTCCAACCCAGACGGCACATACTCAGCTTTTAAAACCGGGCTCATTAAGACGACATCGGGTCTCCTCACGTTTTCTGACTGTGCTTTCTCTCGAAGCTTATACAACAACCAGATCACTGATGTCGGAGCCAGGTACATCGCCAGCATCCTGGATGAGTGCAAAGGCCTCACACACCTTAAGTAAGTGGGGCGGGCGTGGCAGGCTCTTTATTCAAACACATAAATGTCACCAAGAAGACTCTCACCCCAAAGCCTTCTTCTGCTTCCCCGGGGGCCTTACTGGTGAATTAGGAGACCCGTGTGTGGCAGGTGAACGGGCCACGTGCAGGATTTATCAACTGTGGGTGAGGCTCGGAGTCTGGAGGGACCTCCTACAATTGGTGGCTGGAAAGCTTGGCATTTTAATTAATGACATTAATTAATAACAGGAAGAAAGGCCACAGCCACCACCATTTTTGAAGTTCCTTTTCCCCTTTGGGCTTTTTAATAAATATCTATATCTATATGTTTATATCTATCTATATCTATATACCTATATGTATACATATTTAGATATATTTAGATAGATAGATATTAGTTGATTTCAGAGAGGAAGAGAGAGGGAGAAAGATGGAACCATCAATCATGAGAGAGAATCATTGATCGGCTGCCTCCTGCATGCCCCACACGAGATCGAGCCCACAACCCGGACATGTGCCTTGACTGGAATCGAACCGTGACTTCCTGGTTGATACTCAACCACTGAACCACACCAGCCTGGCCCTTCAGGCTTCTATTACAAAATACCATAAGCTAGGCTGCTTATAAACACCCAAAATTCATTTCTTACAGTTCTGGAGGCTGGGGAGTCCAAGACCAAAGTGGTGGCAGATTACGTGTCTGGTGAGGGCCTGATTCCTGGTCCATAGATGGGGCCTCGCTGTGTCCTCACCTGGTGGAAAAGGGGGAGAGGGGCCTCTTTTATAAGCCACTAACCCCAATCCTGAGGGCTCCATCCTCATGCCCTAAGCACCTCCCAAAGGCCCACCTCCTAATGCCATCACTCTGGGGGTTGGGATTTTGGAACATGCCTTTTGGGAGGACACACACATTCAGACCACAGCACCCATCTAGCTGCCAGGAAGAGCTTGCCTTTCCCGGTGACAGAGCAGCAGGCTTGGAGGAGCCCTAGTGATGGGACACTCACCTTGGCCATTTGTGGCTGACGCCAGCACCTCCTTACTCTGCTGATGGAAATGAGTGACGCTCGGTGGTCATTTAAAGAACCCCGGGGACCGCTCCGGTCACTGAGCTTCTGCAGATTGTTACCATCACCTGGAGCGGAGTCCTGACTGGTCTCCTCCGGCCTTTGGGTCCTTCCAAGTGGGAGTGTGAGGCATAGCTGCTGTGGGTCCCAGAGAAAGGCCACACCCCCAAGAGGGACCAGAGGGGCTCTGTGCTGGGGATGAGGGTGACTGAGTCCCCTCCCAGCAGGAGGCTGACACGGGCTCAACTCTCTCTGCAGACTGGGGAAAAACCAGATAACCAGCGAGGGAGGAAAGTGTCTCGCCCTGGCCGTGAAGAACAGCAAATCCATCTTGGAAATCGGGTGAGTAGAGACAACTGCACACGTGTGTGTGTAACCCAGCCTGGTCTGTCCATGAGCACCTGCTGGTCTTCTTGTTCCTAATACAGCGACAGGGCCGCTGGGCAAGCCGTGGGGAGACACAGGAGCTTTCACGGGGGCCCTCAGGGGCCCCACTGGCTTCTGCCTGGGAAACGCTCTTTATCCTGACGGGTCCCTTTGACTCTGGAACTCCAAGCAGCTCATTACCGGGCTGATAGCTCACTATGGGCTGACAGCTCACTACGGGGCTGACGGCTCACTACGGGCTGACAGCTCACTATGGGGCTGACAGCTCACTAGGGGCTAACAGCTCACTACGGGCCGACAGCTCACTACGGGCCGACAGCTCCATACAGGCCGACAGCTCACTACAGGCTGACGGCTCACTACAGGCTGACGGCTCACTATGGGGCTGACAGCTCACCAGGGGCTGACGGCTCACCAGGGGCTGACAGCTCACTACAGGCTGACAGCTCACTACAGGCCGACAGCTCACTAGGGGCTGGTGTAGGACTTGCCTCCAGGCCACAGCTCCACGGATGGAGCAGCAGCGCCCGCCTGCAAGTGGACAGCCTCGATGTGGCCCCCACCAGCAGGCGCTCCCTTTCATTGTCTTGCCTCTGCCCTCAGGATGTGGGGCAATCAAATCGGCGATGAAGGAGCAAAGGCCTTCGCAGAGGCTCTGAGGAACCACCCCAGCTTGACCAACCTGAGGTAACTGCTGTATCTGACACTGTGGACTCCAGGGGCCAGCCTGTCACTCGTGTGTCCCTGGGGTCTCAGGGGAGGAGCTGAGGGAAGAGGGCGGCTGGCTTTCCTAATGAGAGAGGTATTTGTGTGTGTGTGTGTGTGTGTGAGATTTGTTTTTTCTTTTTAAACGTTTCTATGGACATATAGGAGACATCACATTAAATGAGTAAAGTCCACAACTCTGTGTTCAGCTCGGTGATTTGACACAGGCACCCACCCATATAACCACCCCCCAGGTCGAGCCAGAGGACACTGCCAGCCCCTCGGCCGTGACCCCATGCCCCATGGGGGTGGGAGATATTCTTAAGTCCAGATACAACTGAGAGGGACACTGGGCAGCGGATTCCTGCCCCTTCCTCATTCTGAAGGCGGGTGCTGGGACAGAGGGGACCCTTTGTCCTTCTGGCCAAACCTCAGAGCCTCTGTGTCCCCCGCTGCTCGCGTCCTTCCTGCCACTGGAGTGAATCTGAGATGGCAGAACAATGGCAGTCCCTCCTCTGGGAGGACAGGAGACTTCTCGAGCTCTCATGAGGATGTCAGCCCCTGAAGCAGAGCTGGCCAGGCTTCAACCTCCGGTCTGCACGGTGACCCGGTCTCCCCCATGTCCAGTGTCCCCACCTGACCTCATGCTCTGAGCCTGTGCCCTGGAGCAGCAGCGCCTGGGTGGCTGCCGGCGAGGCTTCCTGCCTCCAGGCAGCCGGGCCACCAGCCAGAGTCTCCTGGCTGTACTGGCTGCTGAAGCCAAAGCCTCGTGTAATAATCCTCCCACGTGTCTTCCTTCCTAGTCTGGCTTCCAATGACATTTCCACAGAAGGAGGAAAGAGCCTCGCGCAGGCCTTGCATGGGAACACGTCGCTGAGAATATTCTGGTAATGGCCAGAGTCCTTTCGAAAGGCTGAGAACCCCTTTAGAACCATGTGCCTTGGAGGGCTCTCCGAGTAAACACCCCTTTCCTCTCAGGCTCACCCAGAACGAACTCAACGACGAAGTGGCAGAGAGCATGGCAGAGATGTTGAAAGTCAACCAGACGCTGAAACATTTATGGTAACTCAGAACCCTGGAATTCCACACTGTGCTGCTTTTTAAAACTTCCGATGTAAACTGCATATGCCATACAATTCACCCTTTTAATTCACCTCTGTAATATTTAATATTTCACAAGGTTGTGCCATCATCACTACTGTCTAATTCACTGATGGCGAACCTATGACACGCGTGTCAGAGGTGACACGCGAACTCATTTTTTTGGTTGATTTTTCTTTGTTAAATGGCATTTAAACATATAAAATAAATATCAGACATATACATCTTT